TATTTATGCTTACCCTTGTAGTCTGCCAGAAATTATTAAATCAAGTAAGAAAATTAAGACCTAAAAATTTGGTATTATTAATTACATATATATAGAAGAAGTATTTTATATTAATTTAATATAATCTGTTATTCTTTTGGATCGTTATTTTTATTTGTAATTTTTAATTGATTCTTTTTTGCTTGTTTGCTTTAAGGAAAAAGCGTTTTAAACCATTCATAGAGCCCTCAACTACATTTGGCCATTTATTTGGGCCGAGAATCCATTACCGCCCTGCATATGCGGCGCATCAGCGATATTAGATATCGGTTCGCTGCTGTTTATGTAGCGTATAAATCAGAAATGGGGCCAAATGACCCGGACACTTTGCGAACGCGCTAACCATGAGTTACTCGCAATTAAGAGAAATATATTAGTCTAGCAGCTGATTTAATTATTTAACGATAAAGTCCAAGTCGCGGACTGCGAAAATGGCCCTTTCATGGACGGGGCGGGACCACCAGCAGGACGTAAACAAGCCGAACAGCAGCCGGATCGTCCTCTCCTAAGCGCCGAGACAACCGCATCACAGTCAGACAAAGGCATCACAGTCCGGCCGGGAATTGTGTAAGGTAGTCGTGATCCACGGTCCCAGCTCTGGCCTGGAGTCGGCGGAGGCGGGGAGGACTCTGTAATTGCACCAACGCGCATAATTCATATCAAATGACCATTTTAAAATCCTTTTATTTCGGTGCGTCGCTCTGTCTCTGTGTGCCCTGCTATCGTGACACTTGGAAAAACCAGTGAAGTGCTTTCTTGTTCCCAAATTTCGATTATATATATTACTATTTCCATAATTCTAATGATTAAATAAATATTTCTACCATATAAACTCACCTTACTTCACATTACGAATATTTAATTAAAAATTCTTAAATAAAATTCGCTCAATATGAAAATATGCACATTTTTCTCAAAGGCTTAACTTATGTTTCTAGTAACTACTTTAATATTTGTACAAGAACACCTTATATACAGAATTTTTGTAAGAAAACAAACTAGAAAATAGTTTTGACCTTAAAATATTCTTTAAAGTATACAAAAGCTTAACCCTTAATCATATAACCCTTAATCATATATATATATTTATCGGTATATATTATATGATGGCTTTTTAGACCTTAGTTGTTTTGTTGTTTATACACTCAAGGAATATACTTTTACCAAAAGGCCACTACCCAGCAGACAAAAACGTTCGTTTATGATATTGAAAACGATAGTTTTGCGGGTTTCAAGAGGACAAAACCTCCGATTCCGGCTCATAAACGATAATAAAGTTAATCACCTGTCATGGGTTTTGTGGCAGAAAATGCTATAATATTCCGAGTCCGAATACGATTTCGATTGCCGACCATTTACGACTTCATTATCGGGTATTATCCTGCGAATTTTCGATACTTGCCCGCTATTCATCCGTTTTGAGCATTTAGCGAAAATTATGCGGAAAGTCCGATTCTTTGTGCGTATTTAATATTTTTAGCGGACACTTTGCGGATCCATCCGCACTAAGTCCGCTCGTTGTCTGCTGGGTAGTACCACCACAACTATTAGTGTTAAATCAACTGCGAAAGTTTTTAAGACTCACGGAATTCAGAGTGTGCCCCCGGCTCTGTGCTTTGTTGTATTAATTATTAATATTATAAGGTTATATTATAAAATCAGAATGTATACTTTTTAAATTTCTTATATGTATTTCAAATAAAAGGGATTTAGGATATAAACTTTTTGAAGTGTATGCCAGCCCCTCAAAATATTTGAAATAATAATTCTTCGAGATAAATTACCCAAAAACATGTGTGTTAGTGTGAGTGTGCGCTCCTCTAAATTGCCCTGATACTGGCCCTGCTCCTCATGCGCCTCCTCCGCTCCAGTGCAACATTCCACCTCACCGCTGTCTCAGCGCAAGACAATGAGCCAGAGCCACCACTACAACAAAGCCAGGCCTTCCTCTACCTTGCCATACTGTTGTCCCTGCCCCATTCGGGGTGCCACTGCTCCGAACAAAATCCAAAGCCCAATCCCATTTTGCAGCTCGTGCGCTGGCACTCGGTCAGTCGATGGCGGATGGGCTCAAGAGCTCGGCTGGCCGGCTCCGACTCGTCCCTGTCGTCCTGACCGTCCTGCCCGTCCTGCGTTTGGCATTTAGCATCAGGAAATTATGCTGACGCTGCCAACTGGCCTGGGCCTGGCACTGCCATTGAGATTGAACCCGGGCAATCAGCGACGTCTGCAGATGTGCATGCCCATGCCCATATCCACGTACACGTCCTCGTCCTCCTATCTGTCCCATCTACAGCCACTGTCCTCTCGCATCCATGAGCAGCGCCTGCGCCATCTCTGCGCTCCAGTTGTGTCCTCATTAAGCTCACACACACAGGACCCACTCTAATGAGTTCCAGTCCCCGTACGGGGCATATGTTGTCGTCCATTTCGGTGGCAGAGCACATCCTAGCCGCGTTCCAGTTGATAGCCGGCAACAGCCACCAGCAACCAGTAACTGGCACCCAGCATCAGGACCCCAACTCGTCGCACTTGCAGTTCTGTGTCACACATCTGGGTGCAAATTATGGCACATTTCAAATAGCACCAACGAACACTATGGAATTTTAAGGGATAAGCTTCAGTAAATTTAATATAATAATATATAATATAATATAATATAAAAAGAAGATGAGGATGAAAATATTTTAAAAACCGGAAAAGATATAATTTGTTTTTTCTAAGAATTTTCCGATATGATGTAGTCGTCCGATCTGGCCCATTCCGACTTTTATACTAGTGAGAGTAGTCAGAAAAAAAATCAAAGATATACTCAGATAGCTTAAAAACTGAGCGACTAGCTTGCGTAAAAACGGGCTGAGTGACGGAGGGATATGGCTAGATCGACTCGGCTGTTGTTGCAAACTTCTGACTAAAATTATAATACCCTGCAAGGGTATAAAAATAGCTAAAATTAGATTAATTTATCTGTAAAGTAAGAAGGTTAAGAGTGTTCTTCAATAATTCCTATATTAAATAAAATCTATATAGTAAAATAACTCGCAGGAATTCCTTTCTGACTTTTCTCTAAGTACACTTTTCACATAGCTGCTAGAACGAGAGGGGCATAATCGCATAAAAGTTTACATTTATGATGCTCCAGTAGCCCGAGAACAGTTCCAGGTCCGGATAGGTGCAGAGCACCGGCTTCCTGGCCACCAACCCACCGCTTATATATGGCATACTGATGCAGCTGGCGGGGACTCAGTCAGAAACACCTCGGCCGTAAAATATTCGGATGGCGGCAGCGCACAAACACTGACGCAGGCCAATGGACGGACGGGCGGACAGGAGACCGGACAGCTGTTTGGAAGGACCGTGCACCCGTGTGGGTCGCATTGGGTCGGGTCCCTGGAGGGGGTAAATGCCACTGCGACTGCACTGACGCCCGGCCCAGCCCAACCCACTCGGCACCCCGAAACAGCGAGAACAAAAAGGCGCGAAATCCATTCGCACATAAAATGCGCCACAGTGTGCATTATTTTAATGTCACTGATAAATCATTTTTATGTCGGTGCTAAATCAAAAGATGGACGAGCAAATGCCGTATTTCAAGACAGGGACGGGGGGATGGGACACTGCCGGGTGTCACACATGCACCCGGGGAAAGGTGTGCTGCGGCCCTGGGCCCAGATCCTGCTCTTGCTCATGCTGCTGCCGCTGCTGCTGTTGCTGCTCCGGGGTTATGGGTTTGGGTTCACTCTCCGCCGCTGCATTCGTCCATTAAAATGCGCTCCGGTGTGTCCAAAACACAAGCAGGGCTCCACTACGGACTCCGGCTGCAAGGCCCGTCCGTTTATTTATTATTAACACAAAAAAGACCCCGAGGACGAATTGCACTGCTCCGGCTCCTGGCTCCGCATCGAGACTTGGAATGCGCAAACTGCCCTGAGTGGTTGCCGCCTGCTCATAACTCGTTGTCCTCATCGGCGAGTGGAGCCAGGGACTGCAGAAATTCATCTGTTTGCGGTTCAAACACGTGCCGTGGCCAGAAATAATGTGTGCCGGAATCTGCCCGGACTAATGGCCGCACAACACGGTATTTGACTTAAGCCCAGTCCAGCGGCTTTGTCCGGGCTAATTCTAGCCCACGGAAGAATGCTAACTGGACTGGGATTTCGGTAAAGAACGTACTTTCAAATCTATTCTAGACCCTCTCGTAGAACCTTACTCAGTATTACAGCGCTTTGTAGATTACTCATTTCTCCATGCTAACATGAATTTATAGGGCGAAGATTAACTCGAACTACTCTTTTCGAGCTCACTATAAGTAAGTATAAAGAGTGTCACAAGTGATTTCTACACAGCTAAGAAAGGGAAAACTTTAATTCCTATTGATCTTAGATGGATATAAAGTTATCTAAACGGCAGGACTCTTAAGGTCCTTTTTAAAAAGAACTTTTCCGGGTTACTCTGGGATCTCGCCAGGGAGCTAACTGAAAATTAAATTTTAATAAAAAAAAACACGTAAGAAATCAGTATTTTTTCTGGACATGCTAACTTGCTGTCTCCCCAATAGTTCATAATGACCTTTTTTTGTAGTTTCAAATTTTTATTCAGGCTCCTCACACTCAGAGCTTAAGAAGAACTTGTACTATGGGGATTCTATTTAAGTTTAAGGAGAGACTGTATTTTAAAAATTACCTTCTTTTTGAAAGAAGTACTTGTCGCAAAAATCCTACGAAATGATTTTAGCTGCCTCATGCAGGGGGCATTTTAAAGAGTCTGCAGATTAATGGATCAATTTAAATTTAAGAGGTTTCTTATTGGTTGTAAATCTTTTGTTTCGATTTTTTGATCTAATGACCAGTTACTCACTATTACACAAAATCGTAGAGCCAAGAACCGGAATAACCTTTTACCTTTGGCTAACTGAAGTTGGATTCCCCTTGGGTTGAGAACAATTGTACAATCGTTGGGCTTTCAGTCAAAGTATTCAGTCACATCAAACGGATAGATTTGGATAAACAGTATATTCTCAAATCATCTGAGGCACGCTTGAATCAGTAGCTTCAAAAGTACTTCTATAATATCCAAATTACTATACGACGTAAGTGCAGGTTTAAATATTTAACCAATTCACAGAAGTCCGTACAGTTGCAGACACCATGTTTCGCACACTGCCCATTGAGACCGCCAAGAAAGAGGATTTGGCCAAGGATGAAGTCCGCGCCAATCTGGTGGTTTTCGTAATGACCTGTGCTCTGATCCGATTTATACCGATTATCGCAAGAAAGATAGCTTCCTAGAGGTATCGCATTCAGCATCATCCTCTTGTATATGTGAAAGAAAAAAATATAGAAATTAATCCTGGTCTAGATAGAAATTTCTAGATAAATATAACAAGAAGCCATAAGACATTCTAAAAATGTAATTTTTCGACAAATAAAATGAGTAAGTGTTAATAGATCGAGATCCAGTCCTACACACATTTTATCACTGCAATTTACCCACTCATCAACTGCACCTAATCAGCATTTACAGTGTCAAGAAAAAACAGTCGTTTACCGCCTCATTAGAATCAGGACATCTAGCCATCTAGCGAACCGGCGCCAACGGATCCATCTCTGGGACGAAACTGCACAACAGACGCCGGAACAGAGAGGATATATTGCCGTAAAATCCCAGCAGAGCCTTGCAGTGGCGGCAATGAATATTAATGAGATGTCATCAATCTTTCGTCAAATTAAAACGCACAGCTCCAACGGCCCAGAACGGTGAGTTCGGGTATCCGATGAGATTGAGTCTGAGTCCTGACAGGAGCAGACACATCTCCTTGGGTGTTGTGTGCGCACATCCTGCGGTAACTTTTCTAATTGTTGCCAGCACAGCGCGAATAAATCAGCAGCCGGGAAAAGGGCCACTAGCGCTGCCACAACTAGTTGAAGGCCTTGAGGAATTTCGGCAATTTGTTTTCCGCTAGTTGAGTACTCCTAAAAGGGCTGCGAGATTTTGGGGAGAGTGGCTGGATAGGTAAGTCAGCCCTTAACCCGTTTGGTCCGTGCGTCGACGGCGTCAGCCCCGTCGTCGTCACACGTCAGCGCACTATCATCACGCTTGTTTACACGCATAATTATGTGTGCGGGATTCCAGGAAACGCTTAGCATCGCCCTCAGGAAACCATCCCCCCTCCACAGTTTCGTCCCGTCATCGTCCTCGTTCTGTTATCCTTGCGGCTTTTGGGGGCTGCCACGGAAGACGATTTAATGCCTCGTGACAGATTTCTCACTTGAACTTAAGATGACGGGCGGCGTCACAATTTGATGCTGATAATATGCTAATGAGGTTTGTTTATTTGATTTATATTCCCCTTGTCATGGCTCCGGAGGGAAGGTGTCGAAGCTTCCGGGCGAACAGGGCAGCAGGTCGTCGAGCTCCGCTCAAATCAAAGTTAAGTGGAAGTTAATCGCCTGTCGGAGGACGATTTCCCCACCTCAATTGCATACATTCCGTTAAAAATATACGCTTTACCGAGTTATAGAAATTGTAAATATATATTTTTGGAACCATACAAATTAAGCTAAAGGTTAGTTACGACAGACCAGGCTGCTGTAATGGGGTAGTTTATATTCTATTTGAAGTGACAGTACTTGCTGCAGCTTCAATCTGTAAATTTGTGGTTTCACGTGTTTAAGTTGAAGTTACTAAGTTCATAAAATCACATATCAACTCTGAAATGAGATATGACGCAACAGGTTGTAGCAACTACTCTCTACTCAAATAAATTATATTACTAGTACTTATTTTCTTGACTCCAACCTGTGGTAATTTGTTTACTGTTCTGGAAACAACGCGGCGAACGATCGCACAAGTTTTGGGGCAACCATAGGGCTGACAAGAGAGGGCCTAAGACGGGCTAAAAAACTGCTCTGGTGCTGGCACGCTCACCTAGTATCTTTCAGCAAGCACCTCCCTGTCACTGGGACATCGGTATTAACCGGGAAAAGTGCGCTGTGGTTAATCCCACCCTTCGAAAGCTGTCCTCCACGGAACTGCTGTACCAGCGCAGGGAACACAAATATCTGGGGACTACGCTGGACACTCGAGTGATCTCGTCAACAGATTCAAGGATGGACAAATCTGTCTTTGAAGGGAAAGCCAGAAGGTTGTCATAGCCCACCAAGTCTAACAATCTCCTCAGCGTAGCCAAGAAAGTTTTCATTATTAGAGCCATACTTGTCCCAACCCGGAGGTACGGGCACCAGGCATGAATGGATCAGGACGTTTCAAATCAGGTTGCGACGTAGGATATCCGGAGAGAAGTTATTGATCCACAGTCTGGGTATCACCAGAGATCTTCGTGTTCCCTTGTCTTGGTACACCATTTACCAACAACTATTCTACCAAATTGAAGAATTACTGTAACTCTTTGACTAGAAGTCAGAATCAAAAGACTACTCAAAAGAAGACAGGTTTAAAGCTCCGCACTAACCTAACACATCTTATTTTGTAAATCCTATGAAAACATTTTCCGCTTATCCCTGTGAACACCAAACAGATACGCCCATAATACCAAAGGTAAAACCCTTATATATATACACTTGAACTGTTGAAAAACATATAAACCTTATTTTTTAGATCTCATACTTACCCTTTACCTTTAAAGTTAGTCTTTGCCCCATAGAGTGTCAAATTCAAATTAAATGCCAACACATCTCAGTACCAACAATTTTACGATGTTCGTTGATCCCGGTGTGTTACGTATATTTAACATATTTAAATTGCAAGCCTTGTTATCCACATTTCTTCAGCGGTTTATGTTTCAGCCCTACACGATAATAAGTATTTTAAATTAATGGCGACACTTCAAAATAATTATGAAGCACATGGCACTCTGGCAAGGAAGATGGCGCTCTCTGCCAAAGGTAGCTAGAGTGTTTTGTTGCGGTGTGTGCTTACCTCTGGCACTTTTAAGATGTTGCCGTAACATATTTATGAAGTTCAATTATCATAAAATGCAAATGAAATCGTCATGGCCCAGAAAACGTCAACCTGGGCGGCCTTCGGGGAGTCCTTCTACCCACGCACCCTCTCCATGCCCCACCAAATGTTTTCACCCCCAATAAAACAAACCGAAGAGACACCTAACCCCGGACGTCGAGACATGGCCAAAATTAAGCAATTTAGTTGCGATATCCGCCAGCGAAAGGGACGCCGACGCCCCTTTGACCCCAGATGGAGTCGGGAGTGGAGTGGCAAGAGGGAGCTGGGCGCGAGAAAAGAACAATGTCTGTTTTTGGGAGGGACATCTTCTTGGGGCTCGGGGTTCTACTTCAGCAGAATTTTATCTGTCGGCTGGAGCTATTAAAAGAAATTAAGCTCAAAACTAAATTGCGTACCGGGGACGAAAGGAAAGGTGAGCAAAGTTAACCAGGAGGCACTACAAAAAAATCCTCAGCTCGGCAAAATGGTTCTTTTTTTCGGTGGATTTGATTTTTTATCCGTTAAGGTAAGGCTTTTAGTTTCCTGAGATACTCCTTTGTATCATATGTAAGAGCATGTAGGCAATGCAAGAGCATTTGGGTGGAAAGACTAACTAAACAATATAGATGAAATGAATGAATCTTTGACGATTTGGTATATTCTTGCAATCTAATATTGTTCATAATGCTTCATTTCTATCAGTGTAACTTGATGCGGGGACACTGCCACTACCAGCATTGAAATGAGAAACGATTATGTTTGGGCCCGCGACCCGGGCATAAAGAAATGCCAGAGAACAAGAGAAAAACTTTTTAACTTGTTTGCCATGTTGCTATTTACAAGTCCTGTGGGACACCCCTCCCATTGGCTTTCCATCCACCTGACTGCCGTCAGGTAACTTCACTGCCGCATTGCGCTGATGTTTGCGTATTTCGCGCTGTACTCCGCTTCTTTGTCCGCGGCATCGGCATTTGTCTCTCGACTCGTCTACTCCTCGTCTCTTACTTGTCGGCATTAAGTTTGGTTTCTAGAGTTGCCGTAATATTTACATATACACTAACAAAGGGTATTTTATATTTACAGCAGAAGTCTGTTAGCCAGGCTAAAATATTTGAGTATTTCAATATTGATATGTTTGTATCAGACAGACGGGAATGCTTATAGGTAATAGTTTGATAAGTTTAAGGTACCCATAGGATACAAGGGTAATGTGTTCCAACCATATGTTAATTTTTCAAAGTGTGACTCTAAGAGATTTTGTGATAAAAAATATTTTAAAACAGATCGAATTTTTGATTGTCTCTTATTACAAGGGAATACAAACTTCGGATTGCCAACTTTAGCTCAGGTTTTCGTTGTTCTTTAGTTTTTTGGGGGCTATCGAGCTGGAGTGGGGCCTTTTTGGTGTGGTAGAGGCGGTTAACCAACCGTTATGGTAATTTAGTGGTGCAATTTTCTGGAAATTGATGCTGTTGCTTCCAGCATTTGACCAAGGGCGGAAGTAGTGTCGTCATTTTAGCTGTTTTCCAGACAGATCTATTCTTTGACTTATATTTTTATCAAGCTGGTGGGGCCTCGTATCAACAGAAGACGTATCAGTAAGTAATCGTCACCCAAACAATGTAAAATAAAAAATAAATAAATAATTCTATTAATTAAGCATTTCATTAATTTTGAGGATGAACTGACTTAAGTTTATTAAGAATGAAAGAAATTACAATTGTCCCTAAAACCAATTAAACAAAACAAGCAATTAGTAAATCAGTCATGTCGCAAAATAATGTAGATGTGGATTCTACCGTTCAAAAGGGGATAATATGCCCTAACAAAATGGGACCATTGGTTTTTACCTCTATTCGAACGTTAACACTTTTGGTGAAAATTATCTTGAAAATAGTCTACGATTCATCGTTTTTTTTTCCAACTCGAATCGATGATCGCCTGAAACTAATAGAATCGATAGTATCGATTGTGCAATCAGTTTTTGTCCCAGCTCTAATTTCTACCTTTCATTTTGCGTCAAAAAAATATATATTTTCAAATTCATTTAATAAATTTTGTGACCCGAAAGGCTTTCAAAGGCAGTAGAAAAGTAAGGAATACAAGTTAGAAAGTACTTACATAAATATTCTTCTTTGGCACATTGTAATACAAATTAAATAATGTACACACATACATAGGTCGTTCATACGAGTACAGACATATTTTTTTTGCTGTCCTTGAAACTATAAACGATGTCTGAGCCTGAGAATAACGACAGCTTGATATCCAATGTGGCATCTGAAACCTGCTACCTTGACTTGGATTACTCTGAAATCGATGTGGAAAACGAACTAAAATCATGCGACTGTAGTCTTATTGGATTGGAGGGTAAGATATTATTGAAGACAAAAACCTAGTCATAGAAAATAATAAGGCGAAACCGACAACACAAGAGATAATGGTGAAGAACTGGTAGAAAATCGACTAGTTTTCCTATTTAAAAAGTGGACTCTGGAATTCTAATTTAACTGTTATGAAACACCAGAAAATTTAGCTTACTTACTTTTATGTACCCTAGAAGTACGCAATTGGATGAACTTTAAATTGTTTTAATATAGTAAAAAGAAACTAAAATATGCAGGGTTATTTTGGTAAAAAAAACATCGATATATGGGCATTTCCACAGAAAGGTCCACCGCGGCCAAAACACTAAAACTTCTCTAAAATATTTTTTTTTCCAAAATAGTAATATTAGGAAAAGGCCAATTGATTAAATTTGAAGGGCTTTATCATATTCTAAAACAAATTTCGAAATATTCTAATGCATATTCGCGCAAACACGATTTTTCATTATTTTGATGAAAAACATCATAAAAATGGGCCTGTTTTCTTTTGATAATTACATCCAAACCGAGGCACTAACTGTTGACTGTTGTTTACTAACATCACTAGAAGAATGCAAAAAGTCGAAATAAAATGGATATATGCTCTTCCAATTTACTTATAATAGTAAAAATTACATGCAAAGAATGATGATAAAAAATGTTGCGTGCGACATGTCGCGTGCGAATCTGATTAAAATTAAATAAAAAATAAATTACGCTATATTTCTGATTGTAAATTAAAGCATATGAAACTGGTATTACTGCATCACATTTTAAAATTTGTTTCATTAAAATAATCCCTGCCGTTTCGCTGAAATCAGTGTTTAAACAACTCGCCGCAAAAGTGACTTCTGTTTTTGTCGCGTGCGAAACCCTTAGTTTTTTTTTTTATTTTCTTAAATTTGAGCAAATACTCAAAATCAACATTTGCACCAATATAGTTCTAGGCAAGAGCTATAAGTTAACAATTATAAAAAAATAGAAATGAAATGTACCATACTTTTTTTTTGCTTTGAATGCGTACGAATGTCGCGTGCGACATTATGGAAATGCCCATATAGTGATATGATCTAATATACAAATAAAAAAGAAACAGTCTGCTTTGCTGGTTGTATCTTTCGTTGTTTGTTCAGCATAACTTATGTACTAAATATAATGGACAGTCTGTTTCAGTTGTTACTTAAGTAAATCAAGACTGAAATTATTTACGATTCTCGGGGATTTGAATTTTGCTCTATACTGAGCCCAACTGACGCTTTTTCGGTCGCCATTTGCTTGCGAACTTAGATTTTCAAGGACAGAAATGAATAATTTTATGATACAAAGCTTTGGTGTTTCAGGAACGTTATTACATAATTGATAAATCTTAGTGTTAATTTTATCATTACAGCTTAGGAAAATTTTCGTTCTAACCTTCCCCATTAACATAAATCGATTGTTATTGATCCAACTGAAAACAGCAAGGGTATACAAACTTCATTAAATACAAATAATTTATACACCACAATTAAGATTACACAGGTCGACAAAATTTTAAAAAATATAACAGCCAAAATATACTTTTCCGATATCTCGGAGACCAATAATGACTTTTACAAATTTTAGAAACAAGACAAGAACAGGATTTTAACATGCCATAACGATCGTTTCAAAGTTATGGCACCTCAAAAGTACCCAAAAACATACTTTTTGCACTTATAGGAAAGTATATTTTGGAAAAGTATAATATGGCTCTTAGTTTTGAACCAAATGATACATTTTCCAATTCCCGCGAATCGACCCAATTTTAAATGTAATATTTTTTAAAATATATTTTATTAAAATAGGAATAACCATATATATACATATCTATAATTTTGTGAGCTGCCTTTTTATTAAGAAAATACATATGTCTTCTTTAATGTATATATTTGCAGATGACAGCGCCACCAACATAAGGTTTGTTTCTTTTTTCTTTTCAAGATCTAAAGTAATGTAAATTAAATTTAAAATAGTTTGCATGTTAAAATCACAAAGCGAATTGAAGATAAGGAAACAACTGAATGTTTACAAACATGTTTGTCCGAGTCAAACTTACCTGATACAGCAAATGGATCTACGGATAAGGGTAAGCTTTCCTTTCGCGGTTTTTATTTATTTATTATTAAGAAAAAGTGAATATCTGCCATTATAAATATATATCCTTACCTCTGACTGAATAAGGAGGGTTTTTAACGATATGCTTCGACTCACATCAGGTGGCCAGAGGCAAGGATAGGTGCCTTACGATGTTTTTATTAAATTCCAAGGACATTTCAAAATAAGTTCAGGTCGTTGTAAAGCGAACATAAAACGCAAAATGGATAATGTGCCTCGAAATTTGTTCAAAATATTCAAAGCTATAGGATTTGCAGGAACTAAGAAACTTATTTGAATCAGAAACTGACTGGAAAAAATATGTCCATTATTATATTTTATTAGGTTATTTATATTTATATTTCTTACAGAAGTCAACTGCATGAAAGCTGAGGTTGTAGAAAACACCGAAACCATCAATCAAAATGATATTACCATTTCGGCGAATAGCTCAGAACTTTCTATAAATAGCAAGCTCCTTATTAAAAACAAAACCGATTATTCGGAAATAAAAACAAATTACACTCCCTCAACTGAAGAAGAATCTCTTAAGGATAAGGATCAATTCAAAACAAGAGCTGTGGATTCTCAAGAAAAAACTGTTTACCCAAAAACAATTTATAATAAAAACATGGAAATTACCAAAGACACCGTTAGTGGAGCTGAATCTGACAATGAATTGCCAGTAAATGAAAAGTGCAAGCTATTGAAATCTGAAGAGTTGTCCCAAAACAAAGTGGAGCAGGATCAGATTCAAGCTGCCGAAGAGGCCCAGGATCTGGAAGATGGCGAAGTATCCGACGACAACGGGGATAGTCCACTGAAAGTGCCAGTGTGTCGATTCTACGTTCGGAATGGTTGCAACTGGGGCAACAATTGCCGTTTCCGTCATCCAGGGTCGAATAAAAAGGGAAACTATGTGATGTTCGAAAATAAAGTCCTTCCAGTTGTCAACAATCCACTGCCTCGAGGTGAGACCATACACATTTACCCATTATAGTGGAAATTAAAAGTGTGTCCTTTATTTACTAAATATTTTATAAATTTTTCAATAGCTTGGACACCTTCCATAAAACCGGCATTCCCATTCAACTTGAGTAACGTGAACACCGATTGCTACTACCCCCAGGATCAGCCGGATGTGTCAAAACGTGCCCCGTTGGTGCCAACCCCATCGTTTAAAGAGATTTTGTTGACCCATAAGAACAATCAAAAATTGGGCGATTTACACCGATCGGTTCCCAGTCCGGACAAGCCAAAGCAGATTCGTTGGAAAAGCCGGCTAAGCTCGGGTTCTCCCTGCTCCACTAACGTGCAATGGTCACCAGCGAAAATCAGATCCCCTAGCATCTCACCACCTAGATATGCTAATCAGGTTCATCTAGAAGTCCGGTCAACTCTGAGCTCCAAACCCTCCACTAAGCGGTATCGTTTGCCAAGTCCTCCACGGACCTCGACCACCAGGATTCGCGGACCTCGTACTCCACCGTGCAGCCCTCCAGTACGTCCGAGTGCTAAGATACAAACTGCACCAAAAAGACAACGTCTTTACACATATTTATCGAGTTCCACGGACTCTAGTTGCACATCCACCTCCGAAAGTTCGGAGGAGAGCTTATCTTCATCAGATTCTGATAAAGAATATTGGAGTAGGAGTTCCCGACGAATTAATCAGACAAAACCTTTCAGAGCACCGGCAAAGTCAAGCACGAGACCATCAATCGAATGTACACCGCGGCCATCCCGACGACAAGAAACCTCTGATATAAATCGAGCCTCAAGGCACACTTCGAAATCAAAGTCCCGGAAGCCTTCGTCAAGAACCATAAAGAAGTCATCGCCTGAAAGAGATCCTGAAAGGGTCCCTACAAGAGCCTCAAGGAAGCCCATTTGCGAAAGGAATATTTCCTGCCCAGGTAGGAGGGAGTACTTACTAATGAAATTATTACAAGTGGAGGAGCAAATCGCCAAAAAGAAAAAGAAAATGAACATAAAATAATTAAAGTACCTCAGAAATTATAATTTAAGCAAATCTTTATATCCGCCAACAAATTTATATTAATAAAATAATTTAATAATTCCATCTTATTCAATTTCTAGTCTTAAATTGTTATATATTGTTAAACACTAGCTGCTAGCATGGTCTAAAAATCACTGTGCGGTAAAGTAGCGTTTTTCTAGCTGATCTAAATGAATTTACAACAATTGAACAATTGTGGAATACCCAGTACCGAATCGATTGTGTAATAAATTAAAAAGAATTGGATTTTTTAGTGGAAAGCCCAGGCTGAATTGACTTAAAGGGCCCACAGGAAGTTCCCCTCAACATCGTTCAGATTAAACATTTTTCAAAGTTGTGGTAGTATTATTTTTCGTAAACTTCTTGTATTATAAAAATATAATAATACCTCGCTTTGTAAGAATCTTATGATGCCTAAAGCCCTTCCCCTAAACGGGGATTGATTCAATGCGACCGTGTTAACCCTCACGTGGCTATGTAAATCCTGAGCTGGCTAACGGCCAGGTGGCAGAGGCGTCATTGCCGTAAACCACGACGACCACGCTCAACGATATGCAGTCGGGGTCCGGGGCTCTACGGCAACAACAAACTTCGGATGGTGCAGTAAGTGAGCGCATCTGTATCTGTTCTGCCCCGAGTGGGCGAATGTGTGTCTGTATGTAGTCTCTGCTAATATCCTTGTTAATATTATTAAACATAATTTATGGATTTGTTTAATTTGTATTTAGTAACGCTGCGCCAGGCAACTCCGGCTACGTGACTCCCAACTCCGGGCTCTGGGGGAAAACTTAAGATCTGCGGTCGTCTGGTTTGTTTTTCCGCCCGCCCTGCCAGCTGAGCCAGATGCCCGCCGCATCCTTGCGCGCCTCTTCGCCCCCTTTGCCGCCCTCTGCCGTCGTCGCCCTGGTGGAACAATTACATGGGTGTGACTAATGAATTTATCTGCTCATCAGCATCTCCACAGACTTCCATGCATGGCCCTGGCCTGTGTACCGGGTGTTGCCATCTCAGTAAATATTATGTAGATTTCCTAACACAAATTATGTTCAGTTTGCCGGCATTCTGCGTGGTGTTATCCGCCAGTTCCCAGGCAAGAAGTTTATGAGAAGGCCGTCCGGAAGATGGTTTCTCAAGTTAAAAAAATTAAGGAGTTGTTTAATAGCAGTATCTATGATTAATTTTCTTTAACATATTATTTCTTGTCTCAATATGTGTATTTACGAACATGCCTTGACGGTTCTTAATTGTTAATTACTCCCAACATTTTCTAATTTATTTAGATATTGGGCATCTCTAAAGGAAACACACACAGTTTAATTTGATTGGGGCATCATTTTATTAGCAACTTAATAATGATTTTTCCAAGCCTTTTTGTGTTGTTCCCGCAAACAGATAAATTATTGGATTAAATTTGCATAATATGGTAGTTAGTTTGGGACAAACTAAGAACGAAAAAGTGATGACTATGTATAAAACATTTTAAGAAAATAAGATAAAGTATGCATGCATAAGTTATTTTAACTTATTCGTCGCTTTTGTCACTTAACTCTTCTCTCAACAAGAGAATTTCATCATTTAGATAGTGTACAGCAACAATTACAGCAACTATTAGCAGTTGTATAAATATAATCTGAAATATACATTTATAAGAGAATAATTTCAACATTTATATAAACTTTAAACTTGCCGAACTTAAATGGCAGATATTGAACCGCCAAAGCGAGTAGTATTTGGAATTGAAGGACTTCTTTAGGATTTGTTTTATATCCTTGCCCACAGACCGCATTCTCTTGGGTAATGCACTTCGCTGGACCAGAAAAGAATCCACGTTCTTCATAAAGCTGGCGCACTTGAAATAAATGTTTGATTAATTGTTATTTTTTAATATTTAGGTTAATAGATTACTTGATTTTCCATTGAAGCCTGAACAAACATCAGGCAGATGTAGTCACTGGCAATGCAGGCGTATATGGACGCATTTGCCGCATAGAAGATTCTTTGCTTCCGATCTTCGAAGAGAACGTGCCAAGTGTGCCGGTAGTATACATAGGAATAGGCACCTCCCAGAAGACAGTTGCCATTTAACGCAAACAACAACATCAGCGAAAACTGCAACGACTGGAAGACGCAACGAAATCTTTTTCCAATGGCCTCCAACTGCCTTCTTTGGCACTCCATAGTGTCCAGGCTGGTGTTTACAGTTGAAATAGTAAAGGAGGTGGAAGCCTCAGTTGCCTGATCTTTGCTCAAATTGGCACTTAGCTCATCCACTACGATTTTGTTTAGCCGTTGCAATTCGCCGCGTGTTAGCCAAGCCAAAATGTTGTATAGTCTTGCTGATCCCGATAGAATCAGATGCGGGAGAAAGAGAGCAGTGCCTATCATGACATCCTGGCGTGGAGGCAGCTCGAACTTCATTTCGTAGGATATGTAAAGCACGAAACAAAACAGAATGCCAAAGGTGGATCCCAAAAGTGCATAGGCTACGGCTTCATCCTTGCTCAGTGGACGCTCTCGGATTGAAAGGGATTGCACCAGGAAATTAATCTTTTCCACAGCTCTTACCGAAGTGTAAATGGCATAGGCAATTGCTTTTACGCCTAAAAATAGCTGCATTCTTGTTAATCCATAAAGAAACGGCGACACATCCTTAAGAACATTTAGAAGCGAGGATGTGGGATCAAAGTGCTGGGAAAAACAGGCGGCGTAAATGCTTCCCAGCACAAAAGTGTTGACTACGCCCGGCAGGGACACTCTGAACCGCTGCGACTTCTTCTCAAACCAATACATTTGGTAGCCAGTGAGCAAAAGCACCACATTGGTGGCACGCAAAACGCGAAAGTGTACCATTTTTTAGTTATTTCAAGTCTGCGGTTGGAACACCAAACTAAAACTGATGGTAGGGTTCCAATTGCGGGCAACAGATTCGGGCTTCATATCGATTTAGCGATATTATCTAACCAGCGAAATGTGACGAGCTGTGTGAAGTAGCGTGAAGCATTTCAAAATAAGAATACAAACACATTTGTTGGAATTTTAACGATTATATGTTTTCTGAGTGATTTATAACCTTTGAATATTAATGGGCTGAACTTGGCTGAACAAACTTAAAAATATTATGACTGATACATTACAAACATACATACTGGTATTTTGTTGAATCAGGTTTCTATGTAGGTTCTGAATTTCTGTTATCCCAGAAACGATTCAATAGCACAATATCCGCAAGGTCCCCTACCGAACTGTAAGATAAAGTCCGTTCTTAAGGTAATTTCTTAACCTAAATAGTAGCGACTTTTATATCCGGTTATTTCCTTTGATCGGATTTAAAAGGTATTTAAAAGATAGTATGGTATGGATAGTATAAGGGCTGGCACTATCAACGCACTTTTATGGTTTATTTACAGATTAAATACATCTTCGGCATATCAAAGAAGAACTATATAACCAGCAATCATAAATAGGCCTAAGCTGAATGTGCCATAGAGATCAACAGTAACTGATTAAGGTAAACCTCATATTATTGTCTTAAATCAACAAAGAATGTAAGGAGTTGGTGCCGTTTTACGTGAAAAATTAACAAGTTACAAGAATTCGAACAACCCAGTTGCGGCGTCTCCAAAGAAAAGTTGTTTGCTCGCACTTCTTTGGTTAATTAAAATGTGGAGTACCCCCAGACATTTGAGGCGTTAACAGCACCGAAAATCAACAGTGAAAAATAGTTTCGGCTAAGTGGAGCGCATCTTCCATGCGTGGCTGCGAGTCAACAGGAGATTGCGTTGGATGTCGGCAACTTGGAAACAGTTTTCTAGGACAGATGTCTTGTGTGGGTGTGTGGGCCCGTGTCAACATTAGAAATTAGAAAGAATTAAAAAGGCAGTGCCGGCATTGTACGAAGCAAATATTTGCCAATTGTGTGGAATCTGAGGAAGCCAGCTGGTGTTCTTTCATCCACCACGCCTTGTTGGTTTTGTCGGAACATAAAGGTAAACACTACGAAAACCACATTGAGTTCCGCTGAGGGGAAGATCGTCATAAGATTTTCAGACGGGGGACACCACGAGCACAACACAACGAGCAGGGAGACTGTCCTAAGCCATCAACTACATAATTATGCTATATGGATACTGAGTTTATTATTGGTATTATTATTATTCATAAAAAAATAAGAATTAAAAAAACGAGCGAGAAAATTTCTTTGTGTGGAAAACATTAAATATTTATATTTTTTAAGTATATTACTCGTAATTTGTCTAATAAATATAAGATTCAGAGAAACTTTATAATCCATTAAATAAAATAAGAATAAGATGTATACAATTTTTAATAGTTTAACACGAACAATTTCTTTGCTTAAATATTTAATGTTCAAATTCAAAAACAGCTCCGAAAATAGACATTGAATTTTATAAATTGTCATATGATTTGATTTAGATTTTAAATGTTCTTATGTGTAATAAATTCTACATGCTTACCTCTGTTTATTTCATTTCTGTTAAATTTCGTTTTGCTTATATTCCTACAAGTTGGAGGAAATGAGAGATATGGGATCACAGTAAGTTCTATTAACGCTATTTCTGAACCGATTAAATATAAAATCCGAAATACTGAAGCCTCCAAACCATAAAAATGTCCCCATATTTTGAAATCAATATTTTCTTTTTTTTTAATTTTTTCCATTTTTTGGCCACTCAAGAGTCAATAAATAAATGCAAGGATGACGTTTGGACAGGTCGCCAACATATCGTTTCGAGTACACTTAAAAATGTGTTCAGGGCGCTGTGCATTCCATGTTTCTTTTTTGTATGAGTTAGGTGTGGAGTGTCCGCATGAATGGAGTGAAATTTACGGCCACTTTTTGGTCAGGTAAAAGAACAACAAGGAGCCAGTGACTAGCTCTTGTGATTATGCCATCGACTGGGCCGATCGAGAGAGCAGCAAATGGGGAGAAGGCTCCAAATCTATTAACGCACAGCTTCAAACGTTACGGCTGAGTTGTCCTTGTCCGTAATCCCAGTTCCCTGTCCACCACTGGACACTGGGTCCATGCAGTGGAGCCAACAACAAGGCTTATAAGGCTACTGTGGCGAGTTGCGTTTAATTGATGCCCATCAGGGTCACTCTATTCGCAAAAATATGAACCTTAAAACAATTTTCTAACCTTTTAGCTTCAACTTGAAATAAAATTAATTTTGATTAGTTTTATAGCTTAAATTACCAGTTAAGGAATGGTTAATTATTGAGGGCCCCTAGTGCCACGTTTTTTCCAACAATCATTTGGCGACTTCCTTTCTATCTGTCGCTTTTCTGTAGCCCAACTGTTACACACAATGATGATGCTGCCGATCCAGTTCCAGTTGTGCGACTCTCCAGGAAATTATGATGCATTTTTATGGATATTCAGTGTTTTTGCTTGGGTGCAGTTTTTCGACACGGATTACGTTTCGTCAATGGGTGCTGGCCGAAAAACAGATCTGCCAGGGTTGGGGCTTCATTTTTTATTTTTTCATAAGCTTCCGGGGCTACGCGTGCTGAAAAATATTTTCTCTTTTTTCCGATGCTTTCGGCTGCTGCCTCCAAACTGATTTATGCCCCTTGATGGACGACAGGATTGGGCAATGGACAAGAATGCAACGAGTGCAACCAAACAAGCACCACCCAGAATGAAAAAAAAACCCCACTGAAATTGAGGGCGAGTAAAAATTTATGCATTTTCATTGATATGCAAAGCGCCGCTGCAGGCCGAAGATGAAGAAGGGAGAAGAGAAGAACTTGTGTGCGCGTTTCCGTTTCCGCTGCATGGCCTGCAGGAGCTGAGGTGGCGGTGGCGGTGGTGGTGGATGCGCGTCGGATTTTAAGGGCGGCGGCGACTGTGCGTAGGTCGACATGTTTGGCGTATTGTCGAATTGCATAATATGCACTTTTTCATCGGCCATCCGCCAAAAATTTACAGCCCTACACACATCGATTTATTGCCTGACAATTGTCCCGAATCTTCCAGCGCCAATAACAATGGGAATGCCAGCGCCGATGCCCATCGTCCAATGGATTTGTGTCCACGTCCACGTCCACGTCCGTGTCTCTGGCTTGGGTATGTCCTGGCGCGGCGCCGCGTTGAGTTATGAGTGGCGAATGCTGCTGGCGACCGATTAAATGCAATTTTCCACTGCAATTTTAATGTTTTTCCCGTACTTTCGGTGCTCTTTTTCGGGCTGGATTCCATCAGCGAATTTCAATAAAATTTCGGAGACACATCCTTCGTCGGTCGGACGGGCGACGCGATATGTGCGTGTCCATCCACCATTGACGCCAATTCGTGTGAAAGATAATGTTTTTTAATATTGGCAAGCATGAAAAATGTGAAAACAATAATCGTAAATATTTATTAACAGTAACGGCAAGTGTAAAACCAATAGTACCGCCAACAGGAACAACACAGCCTTTGCCAAAAACTGTTAAAGAGTTGCATGCGAACTTGAGGGCTTGTGGAGTTGATTTAAAAATAAAATCTATAAAGCGATCTATATTTTAACTAAAAAAGTGTTTGATTGTTTTGTTTCAGGAAATGTGCAATATAAAACATTAAATTTATCTTAACCATTTTCATTATTCGGGGATTTAGACAGAGAGAACTGAACATGTATACTCGTTTAGTTCTAGGACTATATCGAATTTTATCAGAACTGTGGCTCTTTAATTTCTGGTTTCTTTTTTGTTTCCATCAACAAGTTAAGCAACTTAATTTTTTTCAACAAAAAAGAAACCGGAAACTAAAGAGCAAGAGTTTAAAATTTATTATAAGGCATATTTTACCGTTGTATTTAAAAGTATTAAATGCAGGGACAGTAAAAAATGATTATTTTTAATTTTAAAATATAAAAACCAATCCAATTTATGATATTTTTCTCGGTGAGGAAATTTTAATATATATTTTTTGTCAGTAGCACTTACTACTATTCATTTGTAGATTCAAAAAGCTACCACATAAAATTTTAATTATAATAAAACAGTGTCGAAGTACCTATGTATTTACTAGCACGCTGATACGCATTGACTCTTATTAGACTTAATATTAAATATTATATTATAAAACTTAATTTAAATACAAAAATTAGAACAGCTAAGACCAATAAGACCAAATACTGTCTTAGCATGAAAATGGAATGAGCTCTATTGAAGGTTAGCTTGCCGCAATTAAGTCCTTCAACATTTCAAAAAGTGTTCACAGAGGTTCAGGTTCAGTTCAGGTTGTGTATTGGGTTTTTGTAACATTATTAAGGAATGTACATAGTCGATTAGGTCATATCTACCTGTCTTTTAAAATGAAACAAATCAACCCAGAGACTATAAGACGTGGAGCTACAGATTTCGGTGCAAATATTTATTTGAATGGCAGATCAATTTGTTGAAAAAATCAGGCGTTCCCGCTGCCATCTTCACATATGGTTCTATGAATAACTTAAAACTTATATTTAGTCTATAGTTCATGTATAATCAGACAGTTATCAGCCATTAAGGTAGCAAACTTTTATCTAATATTGATAATTATTTCATAGTCAACTGTAGTTTGGCTTGGCGCCATTACCAGTATAGCATTGAATATTAAACTGATTCGAAATATTTTGAATATAATTACCTGCTAACATTTGGAAATACTTATGTCCACGCACAGATTCAGAGGTATCCTATTTTTTGAGGGGTTACAAAAAATACTCCTCTGTCTTGGCAAGCTTCCCCAAGCCGTATTCGAAATCCAAACAAACGAAGGCATTCCTGAGGTCCAGCTGCCGGAATTCTTTGCGCCAAAATATGTATTGTTGCCGCAGAACGGGAAGCAATGAGAGATGCTC